ACTCAGACACTGACCATTCATACAGAGGTTAAATAAAAAGACATCTTAAATTTGTAAACGTCTCAATTTCATACCGATTCACATAAGGCTATGCGGTATCTTAACATTGAAAATATTACTTTGAAAATGCTTATTTTCCTAATGAAGAAATGAATCACAGTTTTGTTTTAATTTAAATCGAACCTGCGCAAATGCACCATGATTTTAACCACTAATCATCATTTACAATGAAAATGAAAGATAAGTTGTAAAAAAATTCTGTTATGCAGTTCTGCTTCTAGAATGATTTCTTCGGACGAAAATAAAGTTTTTTTTTAAATAATGATGGAATTATCTATGTATCTCTGCGGTCGAATGATATAAAATGCGCGCATTGGTCAGCCTCGACACGAAACGCTGAAGATGCAGGAACGCTGAAATTTAAAATATTAAAGATTTTAACATGCAGTCGATTTGATCTCATTCAGATTCATTATCCTTTTTTAACACTCGTATTACGTTTTTCATATTGTGATAAGAGACTATCTCTCAACTCCTTCGTACACATATAATTCTATGAATAAAAGTATTATTTTTCTTCGATGAAGTCATTCTCATGGACGAAAATCGTAACACATAATTTTACCTATTTGTCATTCCTTACCTAAAGTTGTTATGTATATATATATATATATATATATATATATATATATATATATATATATATATATATATATATATATATATATATATATATATATATATATATATATATATATATATATATATATATACATATATATATATATATATATATATATAAAAGAAATATAGTCTTAAGTTGTGCTATATTTATGGAATAAAGTGCTCAATATCAGAGATAGAGCGTGTGTAAATTGAACAAATAGCTTTAATTAAATTCTCAAACCAAAACAAAACTGTTAAATAAGTGATATAACAATTTTTTCCTACGTTAATAAATAAATAAATAAAATAAGAAATAAAAACGAACAATATAATTTGACCCAAATAAATAAACAAACGACTTCCGGTAAAATAACCGCCAAAATGGAATACCCACAATGCACCACTAACCCGTATATATATAAATAGCAGGGAAAAATAACAGCATATGTGGCCTGACGATTGCATATAGCATGAAACAGACTGTCGCCTCTAAGTGTTGACTTCTATGTTCACTATATATATATATATATATATATATATATATATATATATATATATATATATATATTTTTTAAAAACAAGGAATTTATTAATGGTAATAGTCCCTAAGGCCCTTTCGTCCAACATCTCATCAGGAGAAAATCGTTGGAAAAATTGATAAATTAAACGAAAAGAACAACAACGAAAATGAAGAGCAAATATAAGGGGTAAACACGCTAAAATCAATAACATATAAGTATATATACATATAACGAGGGGAGTGGAAATCACGTGTAAATAATTAGCGAGGGACAGTTAAAATAAAATATCCCCCCCAACAAATTAAGGGACTTCACAAAGTCCTTCTGCCGGCAAAGGGAAGGCTTCCATGATCCTATACAGATTGATTCCAAAATCTTCAAATAATGGCTGATACATATATATATATATATATATATATATATATATATATATATATATATATATATATATATATTGTGTGTGTGTGTATTTAGGCAGCAATTTTTCATTGGAGCATGTTTCATTAAATAATATAGACAACAAAAACAAAACAAGAGCAGACAATCATTATTGTTTTGTCCTTGTATTGATTAATGTATTGAAATGTAATTGTCATCTTTGATAATGGCTTATGTAAGCCGAAAGCATAGATAGGATTAAAACATGTATCAATATGGTGATTTCCTTTTGTCTTTCAATGATAACGTTATTAAGCTTATCAGCCAATATGAAAGGAACTTACTTAAAATAAATAAACAAAACTTGTCTATATCATTTAATGAAACATGCATCAATATATATATATATATATATATATATATATATATATATATATATATATATATATATATATATGCATAAAATGGAAAAAAGAACACGTTGGCTGCATAATCCGGAGTTCCTTAGTATTTTTGTTTTTATTTTTAAAAAGTCAGTGCTCCATACAGAAGTAGAATTTTATTATAATATTTTTTTGTTTAAAAATATGATTCCTTCGCTACATAAGAGTTCTCATGTTTCAAAAACGAGAACCGAAACCATCCAAATAATTATTAAAATTAAGTTGAATTGAGGTGTTTAGTCTCGTTTCATCTTCAAGCGAAATTTTAGGAATAAACTATCTCTTGGTTTACGTGTGTTTTTAGGTATGGTCCGTTATAACATTCGTTATTGTGGGAGTGGAAGGATCACTAGCCAAATTAAAAAAAAACACCCTGGTTTAACACTCTGGATTAACACCAAAGAAGTCATAAACTGGTTTACCAACATCGACAATAAGCCCGACTGCACCCTAATTCAGATCGATATTGTCGATTACTACCAGTCAATATCAAAAGACCTCTTCACGACTGCCCTGGAGTTTGCTACAGTGTATTCGGACTTAACTCAGGAAGAAACAAACATAATTCTCAGTGCAAAGAAATCTGTCCTCATCCATAATGGAGACCAGGGGATTAAAAACACTGATGACAACTTTGACATCACCATGGAATCTCTAGACTCTGCAGAATCTTCGGACCTTGTCGGTCTATTTATACTGTACAATCTAACCGTCCATCGTGAACTAGACATTAGGGACATCGGGCTATACAGAGATGACGGGCTCATGGTAGTGAGGAGCTCCACAAAATTTAAAACAGAGAAAATTAGAAAGATAATTTATAATGAATTCGGAAAACTAAATTTAAAAACAATAGTCAACAATAAATTAAAAAGAGTAAACTTCCTAGACGTAACCATAGACTTAACGAACAACGTTCACCTACCTTACAGAAAACCTAATACTAATCCCCTGTATGTACACCCTACGTCAAACCACCCTCCATCTATAATTAAGCATATACCCACATCAATAGAGAAAAGAATAAGTATGAACTCATCAAATAAGGAAATACTCCGACAACACAGTAGTTTTTATAACACAGAGCCCTGAAAAATAGCGGATACAAAAACGCTGACATAACCTATAGAAACGATAGTACCAATAATAAGAAAAACAGGAAAAGAAAGATCATCTGGTATACCCTTCCGTAAATAAATAGATAATCAGATAGACAATAATAAAACACAATCCTCCCGACACATAACGACTTGTAGGCGCGCCATAAAAATATCCCTCACTGGGAACTAACTAAAGGATGACCGCCAACATTAACCTTGAAATAGATACCCTAACCAACCTTAGAAAAACCTCTCAGAAGATGATGAATCTATATATAAGAATTAACTCTCTGACCACTTAACGAAGAAAACTAGCCTAGCCACTCCCACAATAACAAATGTTATAACGGACCATACCTAAAAACACACGTAAACCAAGAGATAGCTTATTCCTAAAATTTCGCTTGAAGATGAAACGGGACTAAACACCTCAATTCAACTTAATTTTAATAATTATTTGGATGGTTTCGGCTCTAGTTTTTGAAACATGAGAACTCTTATGTAGCGAAGGAATCATATTTTTAAACAAAAAATATATATATATATATATATATATATATATATATATATATATATATATATATATGAATATTCTGAACATTTTACCAAAATCGTGTGTAGATACAAATTCTGTTCTGAAGATATTGACATGTATCAAAAAGTCTTGTCTAATGTAGTTGAACTACTGCCATTCTTATTCTAATGACTTAAAAATTTCGAGAAAATCGGACTGTTTTAAAGATGCATTAAAATCTTGTTAAATAAAATGGACGCTATATTATGTTGCGTACCTCATTGCATCCAGCGAATCTGCATCATTTTTACACCCCACTGAAGCATTTTGCAAACCACCCATCACCATTACACGCTAACTTGACTCACTTCATAGCGTGAATCATGTATCACATGGTCGCTAAATCACGTTGCTTTCACCTCGTTGGTCTCGTCGGGCGACTCGAAAAGGCGAGATCACCCGCAACCACTTGCCAATGCGTAAGAAGTAGTTGTGTACCACCATCCCGTTTCTCGAACTTTCAAACTGTTTAGAATTGCAAATCTTGTAAAACGAACCACTTTCATTCCCAACAACATGACAAGTGTTTTATTGTGTCGTCGCTATCATATTTTTACACTGTCAGAAAGCGGACAGAGTGAGGGCACGGCCGTGCGCTTCAGGGCACAGCAGCTGGGTATGGCAGAAAGAGAAAACAGACGACAAAGCTGACGTGGGGGGCATTGATTTGAAAGGATCCGCATAGATTAATGTTTACAGTATTGGGAGAAAAATATAGACGATTTAGTTGATAGGCCCAGCAATGAGAACCCTTGTTTGAATTAAGCGTCAGAAGGATTCGTTAAAATATTAGATTAAGACAGAATAAAAAGAATGCAGGCAGAACCTCTCTGTCTCTGTCTCTCTCTCTGTCTCTCTCTCTCTCTCTCTCTATATATATATATATATATATATATATATATATATGATGTAGAGAGAGACAGAGTTAGTGCAGGAGATAATAAAATAAAAACACAGGTACAAGTTATTAATAATAACAGATTATATACGTAAATTATATAATTTATCTCAAATTTATCAGATATTTTGCTAAGAAACCGGTTAATATTAGACTATTCATGAATTAATTGATTCGTTATCTTCGGCTTATCAATCATTTAGATGTTATTTAAAGCCCTAAAACTTTTTTAGATTAAAAAAAAGTATGATTTCCTGAAACATGTCCTACTAATTAACACAGTTTCAAGGAGATGACGTAGATTCACCCACCTCTTAAATGCATTTAAGCGAGGGAATACAACTTATCTAAATGGAATGGAACTTGGCACTCCCATTAAAATTTCGAACCATAGTCCATTACATCAACTGTACAATCAAGCTTACAACACCTGATATTCCCAAGCAGTCACCCATCTAGCTACTGAACAAGATAGTCGTTGCTTAACTTCGGAAGTCGCACGGGATCCGGTGTTCCAACGTGATATGGCCGTAAGCCAATATTAGACTAGAACGATAATTATTATTAAATTAGATATAATATACTTTCGTAACTTATTAATCATTTATTGGAACTTTCGACAATGTCCCGAGGAGTGATTGAAAAAATTTTAAATTCTTGAATCAAACTTCCATAAGTTTTAAACGATATTACATATAATTTAATATATACATATATATATGTATGTATGTGTGTGTATTTCTGTGCATGTGTGCTTGTGTGTGTGTATGTGTCCTTGTTTAAATGTAGAAATGAACGCGTATATCGACATATATACACAGTATATACATAAAATTCAAGCATACATTGTTTCTGATATTTTTACGGCTTAAGCAATCATCAATCCCTGTCTTACTGCTCTTTATGTGGGTTGCATAAAAATCATCAGCTCACAAAAATATCTAAGAACAAATAATCCTTGCCTAGTGGAGAAAATTGCAATATTCCAGTATAATAAGAATTCATTAAAATAAGGTTTATTTGAAAATGGAGAGAAGAAAACAAATTCCTACTACAATACCTACAAACACACCGAGGCACTAAAATTGACTAAATAACTGACAACATACCACTAATAAAATTCAAATACCTAAATTTGCAACCGACAAAATATACAGTAAATAAAGAAAAAAATGAAAATTAAATATGATAAAATAAAATTAATTACGCCGTCAAAACTATGAATAAACGGAAATTATTAGCCCTAAACAAACAAAATTAGAAAACTGATTTCCAATAAGATTGCATTGTATTAAATATAAAATCAACCGAAAGATGAGTTTCAGATGATCGAAAGATCGTTGAAAGCCTGAAACTGGTAGTTTTATATGTATGTACAAATATTTTATGTCTTCAAATATTTGATCCTCATAATCGAACGCCTTTCCTTCGTAAACATAACAAAGTTATAAAATTATCTATCTATCTAGTCAATTATATATATATATATATATATATATATATATATATATATATATATATATGTATACAGGTGTGTGGTTGCATAAATTCATAAAGAGGCATATATATATATATATATATATATATATATAAAATCAGTTAAACAATATATATATATATATATATATATTGTTTAAAACTTTAATGACAGACAGTTAATTTTTTATTATATTTTTCCAGTTTTCGAATAAGGGGTTGCATATTGGGCTTCAAATTTGGGATAAACTGTTTGAAGTTCATGTTGTGTTATTGATTTGTTCAAGTACTTTCGACCCTTTTTGGCATTTTCAAGAACCACCGTGGCGCCTAATTTCTTTGTTTCTATCTTGGTATTCTTTGGGAAGATGAAAGTTTGCAACGGTTTTATCTATCTATCTCTCTCTCTCTCTCTCTCTCTCTCTATATATATATATATATATATATAATAAAATATAGAGATATGCTATATTTATGGGACAAAGTACTCAATATCAAGGATAAAGCCTATGTAAAAAATAAAAGTGAACATTGAATTCAACACTCAGATGCAACAGAAAGATATTTATTGAATATGGCCTGTTTATTTTGTATAATAATAGATTTTAAGGTTTTCAATATATTCTGCATCGGTTGTTGTAGATGTGTTTAATATTATACACTAATATATGTTTTATGCTGATAGTTTTAATTTGGTTGTTCATGATATGCTGATCTTTACGCATACAAATTGCGCAACTTTGACAGGTGACAAGTTAATCTACGAGTGAGTGTATTGCATCTGTGTCCGATGTATGAATTTGACCCTTACTTCTTATAGCAGTAATAACTTTCAAGCAGTATGGCATTGTTCACAAATCTAATAATCAAACAAAAACAGCGATGAAGCGCCACAGCTTGATTCAACTGCAATTGCAAACACATAAATGTCCCCCACCACCTTCTGCGAACGTTTACTGTAAAGCTGGGATTAATAAGAGGTTCTTCAGGAATGTTTCCCTTTTAACGCTTCAATAATCTTTCTCAGATAATTTTTGCATCAAAGGTTGTTTGAATGCCAATTTTGGATGGAATCATATGAAGAAACGATTGGCTAAATGGCAAAAGCTTATTTTGGACCGAGTTTATCGCAGATTTCGTTCACTTAACTGAAATAATCTAAATCAATCATTCGCGCAAGACAAATTGGGTGTCACTTGTAATTTACATCACAAATTTGGAAAGCATCGGACGAAAATCCAGGCAGTTATGGCCGAAAAACGGGCTTTTTAAACAGTTTTTCGTGATTTTTCGATATATGGCGAGAATCGAACAGGACTAAAACCACACTTTCTGATTTCTTGCATGATGGTAATTGTTTTGCGACATATTTGAAGAAAATCGGATAAAAAATGAGAAAGTTATTCAAGTTTGCATTTTAAGTAGTACGAAAAAACCTTCTTTTTTTTTGCAATTTTTTGTGCGAAGCCAATGCCGCTGGAAAATTATCGAATATAAGAATTTTAACCTAAATGAGCATATATCGTCTTCTTTACTCAAAGAAAATGGCACTGTTTTAGGTTCTAGCTTAAAATACTGACTTTCAAAAAACATTTTTTCGTCCTTCCGATGTGTGGAAAATAGCGGCGTGTGATTTATTTCGGTACCAATTAGACGGCTTCGCTTCAAATCTTGAGACACAATCTGGAGCTAGTCTTGGTCTATAAAAGAAAAGAACTTAATTGAATCGAAGACAGGACAGGAGACGATGTCATCAGCTGCAAGGAGAGGATAAGGTCTCTCCGGTTGAGGAGTCGACATAATCTGCTGGTTGATTCGAATTCATTCTGGTCAAGAACAATGTCATAGAAGAAATTTGATAAGCCAGACGAGGATCAAAAAGAAAATCAAGGTCGCTCTCTAATCTATGAAAAATTCATCGACTGATGTGTAATCTTTTACTGTTACCAAGAAGGGTCGCTACGGACGTTGTAATTACTACTTGAAAAGCATTCAGAGATGTACTACCTTTCTCTTTTTTATATTTGTTTTAATGTCGTTTGACTTTCTGGGGACCACATTCATCATATTTTACATTTTCATTGTAAACGCAGAATATCTTGTTTGCAGAATAACCTTTATTGTAAAAAGGTATAATTTTATATCCTTTATTGTATAAAAGGCTTATTTTTGCACTATATATTTTATTTGTACATATATGTTATTGGCCATTATTTGTCACACAAAGCACTTAATTTGTCTAATGCCTTTCATTTTATGTGTTCATTAAATTTAACGTATTTCTCTTTGTTTACATCGGCTTGTGTCGTCTGTTTTTTTCGTGTGTTTTCGGCTTTACATTAACATTACCAAAAATATTTGTTTGTATTACGACAACACTTTTTTTACCTCACAAAAAATTATATACAAGCACTCTACATAAACCTCTTAACATAGCTATGTTTTTCATTAAGTACAATGAACATCATCTCATCCAGTAAAAATTTTGTTCGCGTTTAACTTTTCCTTTTTTTTTTTTCAAAAAGTCGTACCCACCTTCAGTTTTATTGATTTTTCTGCCAAACCGGAGTTTGGTGACTGAAGACAGACCTATCTTGGTAAATTTGAAACATGTGTGTACAATCTAATCCAAATCGTTCGAGAAATGTGGACGTGCATAAATATAATACACACACAGGCAGATACACAGACAGACATCTTCTGTTTTGTATATTTGTATATTTGTATATATATATATATATATATATATATATATATATATATATATCACAATAGTGAACATTGAATTCAACACTCAGAGGTGACAGACTGTTTCATGATTGACGAATGCGTTTAGTCTGTCACATCTGTGTGTTGACTTCAGTGTCCATTTTTTTATTTTATATTTGCAGACACTCTACCTGTGATATTGAGCACTTTATCCCATACATACAGCATAGCTTAAAAGTATATTTCTACATGATTATTTTTAGTTTATGGCTATTTTTTAGCAATATGAGTCATAGTATGGTTTCAGGTAGCATATTAGGAATTTGTTTTCCAATCATCATTCAGAAAATAGCACACATCATTAGGAGTTTATGTTGTTATGTAAAGGTGATTATCATTGTTTTCTCTTGCCCTAAGCTGGTGATTTTTTTCATTTTATTTCACTCTTTTTAGTAAGTTTTGATCTGTGTTTTCATATATGTTTTGAGAGAGTTATGGCACGTGTTGTTAAATAATGTTTTAACATATATTCAAAATCTTTGTATCCAAGGAATTTATGTTATGCCTATATTTTTTTCTGATATTTCATTGGATCATACTTAACTTCGTAAGTTACGTTAGTTGGTATCCTGTTCCCGTTCAGTGGGCATTATATGTATATTGCATTCAGTCATAACATTCACTTCTGTGTTTATGGCTAAAAACATGACATTTAGGCTGTATTTTCCTCGTTTAAAACAAGATTATTTTTTTTCCTGTCAATTACAATTTTCAAGAATTTAAATGCAATGACAATCGTCATTTTCTCTCTACTTTAATCCGGTTCTTTTTATTGTCCTTCTCCTCGGAAATATTTTCTGAGTTTCCTTTACTCTCAGTAACCAATTGCGTCTTAATGGCTGCATCACCTTCTTGGGGTGAAATTATTAAAAAAAGGTTTTTTACTCTATTTACATTATTCGGATTATTGTCCTCGAATTTTTCGCCATGTTTATCACAACGTTTCGGCCGTTGTACGCTCCGGCCTTCTTCACGTGGTTGGAATATCGAACTGAACCTTTTATTTCGTTCACTGGGGTAGACTGTTCTTATTCCACGTGCCATGTCTCATGGATGTCAGTTATTTCCTGTTAATTCCCCTCTCCAAGTTCTCCACTGCTTTAACCAGGTATTGAACTCACACTCTTTGGGTCCTGTCACTGGATCTAACTAACGCCTTTATCCAGTGAGCAATGTGTCCTTGATGACCTGGCGAAAAATATAAATAGTGTACATACCTCATCACAGAAATATAGACGGTTTTTCACTTTGTCAGTGATTAGGAATTAAATTTCCTGACAATAATTTAA